TGCCTCAACCGTCAACGGCCCTGGGCTGCTGCACTGGACCGCCTCGCAGCATGGATTGTGTGGATTGCGTGGACGAGGACGTGCTGCCAGGTATTAACCTCCATTTAATGTTAAACAAAGCCGCGTAACATGTGCATGGGGCGCTTAAAAAAGGAGCAAGCAGATATTAATACCACGCCCATACTCAGTCAACAGTCAGCCGCCAAACATTTCGATTAACATACGCAAACACACACACACATACACACATACACACACACACACACACATTATGCAGCAGGTGGGTGGGGGCAGCAAAAAAAAAAAAAACATAACGTGCATGAGCAGCAAATTGAATTGCTGGAAAACCAGGCAACAGACCAGCAGGAAGCTGTGCAAAAAAAGGCCATAATGGGAGTCGGAGTTGGAGTTGGAGTGGACTCAGTGACTGGACGTGGACGGAGCCTGGGCCACAATGGCTGCAATATGAGAATCAGCTTCATCGTCATCAAAATCATTTTAAACAAAACGGACTAATTAAGCGCACGTTGGCCGCTTAGAGCCGTCGAACGAGACCCACACTGGGCTCCTGCTCGGCGTGCAACTTCAAACCTAGTAACTTGGAATCCAATTTCAGGATGCCAACTAGGATGGTCGACAGTCGACCCATTTGAGTTACATATATTGACTCATTGTGCTCCTGAAGTTGACTTTATCGCCTGCAGTTTCCCGTAGAGTGGTTAAATAGAGCTAGTTGCCTTGATTTCATATCAGACAGTTCCGGTATGTCAACAAGGAAGGGAGAACCAATGAATTGTAGTCTTCTCCGCGCCGGGCATCCTGTTTCTAATGCTCCTAATCAACATCAGACTACTACTATCAAATAGTTTTCATAGGAACAATCGGTCGGCTTTAAAATTTATAATCACGTTTAGAATCCGGTGTGCTAAAAGAAATCCGATCACTACGAGCTGACAGAGTTTAAAGTATACTTTTATTTTAAATATTCGCAGGCAGTTTTGCAGTGAAATAATGCAACACAGAATCTAGTTTTGGTAGCGATTCATATAGAAAGCATAGGAATATTAAGTAACTTCAATAGAAATATGCTCATATATAAGAAATTCAATTTTATTACGGAAAATCACAATCAATGTACAGGCATAATTATAAACTTAAGGAAATCGGTGCAGATGTGGAATGAGTTAGTTATGGAAACCATTCATATGGATTTTGTGTGCTAAAACTCTAAACACATGCTAGTTGTAGAAAGAAATAAGTATTTATTTCTATTGAGCTGTTGTTATTTCCATTCAGCCAGGGACTACTCAGGCAGGAGAAGAAGAAGAAGAAGGAGGAGGATGGAAGCAAAAAAAATCGCTTTTTGAGTAGTCAGTCACTTTGGTCGGGAAATTAAGGCGCTTTGATGTATGTGTGTCAGTTGCCCACTCCACACACCCACACAACAAGACGCAAATACACACACACACACACACACACACACACACACACATACAGATACAGATATAGACACAGACACGGATAGACTGAGACATTTTTGGTGTATCGTCGCGTAAATCCGTCTTTGAATAATGATGCCGTTGATAGCTGGGATTATAACCCAGTCGCAGGCTTCACTCTCTATCCCTCTCTCATATGTTACTGTGTGTGTGCAGCAGGCCATTTATTTATTATGCCACAATATTCAATGACCCTTAATGGCATTTCGTAATAAAAATATTGGATTAGTTTGTTAGTTTTGGTGGCGCTGGCAGACCAACCACCAATGCTGCACTCAGTAGTCACCCACTGGACACTTTATCAACTGGACTGGCATTACGTATTCCATTAAACGCCTAATGAGACCATTGTGCGTTCTGTCTGGGGTCATCAGGGGCCGTCTCTTCGGTGTGGGCGTGACAGGCGCCCAGGTACTTAGACTTAGTTAGTCTCAAAGATCTAAAAGAGCAACGCAACACAACAAGTTCTTGGGTAGAGTTTATATATGACTGACATAATATTTTCAAATGACAAACTTTAACTGTAAGCGGTCATTTTAAATCTAAGCATATCTTAGACCCGATAACTCAGTGGAGCATTTGAAGGAATGCTGTGCAACTGTATCTATAAGAATTACAGTTTGATTCGAATATTGTGCATCGTTATTTAAAAATTAATTAAAAAACCTATCTTAAAGTGTAGTAATATATTGAACTTAACACAATTATATTAAATATATAATAAAATGTCTAGTTTTTTAGTAGAAATTGTTGTATTAATAGAGCATTTAGTGTGATATATGTTTTAAGATGAATATTGTATCAACTGTTTGAAATAGATTGCTTTAAAGTTTTGAGTGGGATATCCTGCCATTGTTTTATACATACGTATATGGGAAAAGCAGATAAAGGTTATTATGGCCTTATCCATTGCTACTTTCATATGCATGTAGCATATTAAAATACCAACTGCCATCTGCCCTGGCACGTAATCGGCATCGGAATCGGTGATTGGAGATGGAGTCGGGAGCCAGGATCCGGTACCCAAGATCCGGTACCCGGTAGACCAGGACCTTTAACTCAAAACGTTGGACTGCATGCATGTGACATAATAAATATTAATGACAACTGACCGACAGCATTGCCATAGATCCCTGCCCAGTGGGTGGGCGATGCGGCGAACAGTCGATGGTGGGCTGTGCACAGAGTTTTGTAGTGGTAGTGGTGGTTGTGGTGCTGGTGATGGTGATGGTGGCTGTTTTGGCTGGGTTGACGTTGACACACATTCGACATGTGACAGATAAATTATGGCAATTGGATGAATGCCGCCACACCTCTTCAAACATGGCCCTGACCAACATCATGCAATTTTGCTTTAGCTATGAGATCATTTTTCATTTTCTTTCCCTTCTCTTTTTTCGTGTTTGTTTTCTTTTGGGTTCATGGTGCGGAGGTTGTGACATATGTGCGTTCACGACTAATGGCAGTCAAGTTTACCATAGCCAAGGACCTTCACATGCACTTACACACACACACACACACACACAAGAGACTATCCTTAATAGTTTTCAGTTCGCCAATGATACGGTTGGCGGACTAATGACAATATGCCAGCAGACTGAATAAATTACAATAATCATTTATTGTTCAATAAGCCCAAAATGAAAGTTTCTCGGAAATTCAACGTTTTTTTTTTCTAAATTATTTTCATTTACACAGCACAGCAAATGTTAATATTTCTTATCTCATAGGCGAATCGATTATCTAAGCAATTCTCGCTCCTAAGTATACTTCCTCTTTTTCACATAAGAGATACGATTTGTATCTGAAAGAAAGTCTTGCAAAGATTTAAAAAAATAAGTTCGACGGCAATCAGATAACACACAAAATATTTACACATATTCGTTTGCTGGATATCAGATGACATAATCTTTTTTAGTTTTAAAATGATTTTGAGGCCCATTAAAAGATAGTTGAATTTCAGTCTATCCACTTAATTCCGTATCATTTACAGAAGCATGTAAATTTTCAGCAATTAATTAACTTTGAAATAATACAGCTTCAACTGCAGTCGAATTCATGAAAAACTAAAGAGATTTTTATACAACATTTATGCTTAACATTTTGGCGCAGAAGTTATATTAAGTCATACTTTTTTAGACAGAGTTAATCTAAATTTGGAGCTTCCGCAATTTATTTATTAGTTTGCAATAAAAGTTGTGGTTGGGGGAGCAGGACGGGACAGCTTTATATCCTTCAGTTGGCCACAATAGTAGCCGCAATACCAAGAATTGTCTACCATTAATGAAAAGCAATACAAAAGCTGTACAGGATTATTTACAACTGACGAGCTTAAAGCAAAAACCAATTCAAAAGAACGAAAGAAACCAAACAACGAACAACAAATAAACCAACCAACGAACTCCCATCCCCCTCTGCACCTCCGCAATCGCGGCTCGCAGTGGTAAGGGCTACGATGTGGAGTGAGGTGGGGTCGGGTGGGGTTTGGTTTTGGGGAAGGGGAGGTCTCAGTAATACGCGTGTATAAAAGAATCAAAAATCTAGATTTTGATTTGAGATACTATGGACTATAGAGACAGACTGGCAGCATGTTCAGTTTTGTTAGCAGACTGGGGCCGGACTGGGTGGCTGAGTGGGTGTGTGGCTGGGTGGGTGAATGGTTTGGTGATGTTGGGGTCAGGGTTGAGTGCTGTATTGTGGATATGTATAAGTAGCTGTAGCTGAAACAACAACGATTCCGACCGTAAGTCAAGTGGCGCTTAGATTTTTATATGCGCGCGTTTTGCCCGCGACTAAAACCGCTCAAATTTCCAGACGGCGACTTTTGGGTTTCCTTCTTTTTTTTCCTTATGGATTCCACTTCAATGAATTGAAAAATTGCCTTGAACAAATTTGATGCGGCAGTTTCGTTGACGTCGCTGCTGCTTTGCATTTTGCTGTCTCTTTTTTTTTCAAGGTTTTCGTGCGGAAGTGCGCAGAGTTGGAGATGGTGGGTGGTAGATGGGGACCAAACAAAATTTTTCCAAACATGACATTTGACATTTGATAATGTCATTTGCCGCGTAATTGTTTTTTGATTTGATGCTCCGTTTTGCCGTTGTCATTTCAATGCTATTGTTCTTGTTGTTTTTATCTGCCACTTTGGTATCTTAGCCTGGGGATGGCGGCAGATGGACCTGGGAAACGGAGTGGAACTGGAGGTGGAACTGGAATTGGAATTGGGGGGTGAGTCGGCCTGTCTGAAACGCGTGCAATGTAAATTGATTTGACTAGCGATGCGTCAGTTGCCTTCACGATGCAGTAATTGATAAATTTCTTAAATACTTCATGCAACACAATATTCTACGTTTAATTCGAAACTGCTTAACGTTCCCCCAAAGTATCGTTGGTTAAATGAAATACCAATTTACAAAATTAATTTATAAAGCAAGTTCAATACTCACATCAGTTTATTTATGATAAGAAAAAATAAAAAGGAATACATTTAAAATGCATCACCTATCTTCATGACTAAACAAGTTCATTTTTAAATATTTCGCTTTAGTTTATTCCAAATATGCAAATGTAAATCTAAATAATCCATTCGCATATGCGGAGTATGCGCCAAAGAAATATTAAACAGAGTAACCCAATTTGTTTCAGCGACGGTCTGCAAATAAATATTTAAAAAAATTTAAGGTTTTTTAATTTAATCATAGCTATTCAGTGCAGAGTTTGGGTATTGCAATAAATATTAGAAGGGGATGCATAACCCCTACATTTCATTAGGGAATTACCATGCCCCAAACTAAACAACAACCCAACCCTACTTACTTTGATCGTTTATATCGTCGTCATATATACACCTAGGTGTTAGAGGATTGTTTGCGTTCTCTTTGTTCCAGTATTGGGCCATATCATAGACCACGTGGTTGAGCATCGGCGATGGCGATGGCGGAGGCGGCCCTGGTGGCAGTGGAGACAATCCCGGAACTATTTCTGCGCCAAGATATAGGATTGCATTTAGCAGGATTTAATTCATCCAAAATAAGCGCCTACCTGTTGAGCACATTGCCTCTTCGCAGGCCAACCAGTAGGCTGCATTCAATTCATTGTCGCTAAATGGCATATATGACAAAAACATTTTCTCCTCATAGGCGTCCAGGGAAAATTGATTAATGGTCATTACCGGGATGTGATCTTTATTCATTTATTTAAAGAACATTATCAAAGATTATAATCATATTTAGATATGTCGAACTTTCTGTGCTTTCTGATTAGGTTCATAGAGAAATTAGTTTAAATTTGTACCGATTCTGATATGGCATGATAAGAGCTTATGAAAATGTTAATGTATTATTTAAAATAGACTAGACACTTACCTGACGAATGTGAGTGCAAGGAGTCCAACGACGGCATTGTAGTGGACTGCGAAGAAGCTGCGTGTTGCTCACCGACCATGGCCAAGGAAGTGGCACGGGCCTGTGCCGAGGTGCTGGGCATCAGATTGATACATTCGCTGTGCAGAGAAGCGGCCTGAAACGGGAGCGTCTCTGTGTCTGGCATATAAGGAAGGGATCGCATGATAGACCCGTTCTCATACCAGCTGGGCAGTTGTAGTTGCTGAGTCTGTGGACTGGTGTCCTCGCCAATGGCATGTTCAGACAATTTGGCGGCAAACATCATATTGCCAAAATACGTACGACCTGAAGATATCTGAAAATGAGAGCATAGGAACTACTCCTCAATTTGTTGGTTCGGCTTACCCAAGGAAGCTGGCTCGTTAGCTATGAGCGTAGAATGGAATCGATTTTCCTGATCTTCACGCACACAATTATAGCGAAATTTCTCAATGTGTTCCATGCCGAATTCGCAATCTAAATCAATTTCGGACTCCAGCGAAGATGATGTCTTCAAAGGTGTCTCTGCAAAATTACCCAATTATTGTTTGTATTCAAAGTTTCTGCATTTATTTTGTACTTTGTGTGTGTCTCATGTCCAGCGGTTTGGGCAAGCGCTTAACAGAATTTTCCTGTCGCTTGAATTTCGACTTGGGAAGCGCACCAGTTGGCACACCCACCCCATGATCCGAGCTCAAGGGCATCTTCTGCTGCTTTTTTGCCTCCGACTCGGCGATCATCAGACTGTTTAATTCGCCAGACTCATGTTGATTCATATGGTGCTGAAGTTGCAGGACGAGGTCCTCGCAAAGCGTGAAAATATCTGAAAATTATATGGAAATTTAATTACTTAATTCCCATTTTAACGAACGATAAGAAGGTACATTTTCGTTCAGTGTATAAATTCCGGTAGGCTGAACTTACATAAAGCCCGCCGCTCGCAGCTCCTCCCCAAGCGTTTGGGATAAGGAAAGCGCGTATCGTAGCCCAGTCCGTTCCTCTTGGGTGGCGTGCATTTGGCGCCCTCGAAATTCTGGTGGGAGACGACTCGAATAGGGCAATCCATTTGTAGTTCGACGCTAGACGTTGTTGGCTGCAAAGCCGGTGCCATCTCCGAGAATTTTAACAGTTCCAAATGCTCATCCAGTGCCTCGTCTTTAGGCATAAGATGTGGCTCGGCTTCGGGCACCCCTGTCATTTGCGATTGGGGCTCATCGTAGATCTCTACTAGCTGCAAGGACAGCGGTTCGGGCAGCGGAGTTGTCATTCTAATAACCGGCTCACTCCAGAGCAACTGTCGCATTTCAAGATGCTCCAGACGCTCCTGCTCCCGGGCTATAATGTCCAGCAGTACCTGTTGCTCCTCAAGTAGTTCGTACAGATCTAGATCTATGTGACTTATAAAGTGATGTTCCGAAAGTGGATGCTCAGGCGAATTCGTGCGCTCCCAATACGGCATCTCGATTATCGGACTTTCCTATCTCTAAAAAGCACAGTAAAAAATTGAATTTTATATTTAAGTTTTGAGTTGTGTTCAGTTAACTAAGTCAAGCAACTAAATGAAGTATATATAAATTGATATCTGAAGACCAATCAAGTTTTAGCAACTTGAAATTGCAAAACTGCTTGCAGTGTGCTTGTTAGCTGAGCACGCCCAGGCGAACCTATTGGTTATTGGCTATTGGCTATCAGTAATCAGCTATCAATACAATAACCCGAGCAGGCGCAGTAGCCACACGAATACCAATCACAATTTTCAATCAGCTCCACGGAAGGGGCCACTTCAGGGATGCCAGACAAGCGCCACAATCATAAAAACTTTGTTGCAGTTGCAAAAAAAAAGAATAATAAAAAAAAACCCTGAACACAAGCAAAGTGAGAATCACACTAGGAAGAAATGTAGAGCGTAGCTTGAAATTGGCAGTCGTTTGGACTCTTGAGTGGAACATCAGGAAGCAGGCAGAGAGATAGAGAGAGACAGAGACAAAGATAGACAGAGAGAGAGAGAGAGAGAAAGAGAGAGAGAGGGAGGCGTGTTGGGGGTGGGTGACTGGTGGCAGGCACTTCCGGCTGTTGCCGCCCAAAATGTAAAACGCTAACCGTAAATTGCTCTCCATTTTTATATAGTTTTTCGCCCGCGGCAACCAGCCGGTGTCAATTTTGGCCAGTAAGCGCCCAGCTGGGCAGAAAGGGGTTACAGATGACCAGCAAGCGAAACAAACAAAAAATTAAACTAGACTTGATGCTGGGGTTGGGCAATAAAACCAAATGATAGCTAACTGCATGAACTAAGCTTTGGCTATCAGAGGTAACAACCATAAGTAAGAGAACTACAAGATTAAACATTAAAGTAAGCATATATTTGTACTTGGTTAAAATGTGTTCTTCTTATATGCAAGACTGGTACCAAAAACTTCACTTTAGTCATAAGGAATAATTAAATATATTTAAAACTATTGTTTCAAAGTATTTAAGTCTGTTAAATAAATGTGAAAAATGTTTAAAAGTTGCCTGCAGGTATTAAAAGCGTTTCGGAAACTTTACCTAAACGGAATTTGGAAGCGGCTCAACATATCCAATATAAAACTTATACCTTACTACGTCTATGGAGAGATTGTGTCCAAAATTGGTCAGCGGGCTTACTTAAGATATTTCCGCGAAAAAAATAATAATAACTGAAATTCAATATAGCAGGTAAGGATACGGAATCTGAAGGACTACAGTATTGTATATAAATATTTATGTATGTATTTCTCAAGTTTATTTATAGAGTTTTCTGTGTAAATCAGTTTAAATTTATTTTTCTTGTGTTTTTTTACCAGTTTAATTACAATTTATACTCGTCTATATGTGTGGTATATAACTTAATATCGAACCGAAATGTTAGCTGCTTTTAAATTGTAATTTCAACTGCATTCAGGTTGGGTTAAGAGCTCTTCGCGTGTTTACTCAACCCTGCCAGACCCGACTAATAACCAACGGGACTCCTTGTCGCTCCTCCCGCTCGTCGAATGCTTGAACACCCACACCCACCCCACAAGCACACCCACAATGCCCGCCCCCTATCAAGCACCACAAAGTTAGTTTACGGCCAAAGTTCAGCGAGAAAAAATACTACATAAAAGTCATAAAAAATTGCAAGCAAAAAAAATAAATAAAAAAAAAAACTAAAAAAAATTGGCCAAAACATAGTCACAAAAAAGTCACACCGTGTGAGAATCCTGAAAATGCTGTAGAACAAAAAAAAAAAAAAGACATTTAGTACAAAAAATGAATGGAACGAAAAAAAATTGGTTTGTAAAGCAATTTTTTTCGTGCTCCGCTTTTTATTTGGCGTTGGCAGCCATTAGAGCAAAAATCAGCAGCATCAGCGGGGAAACTGCGCAAGGGGGATGCGTTGTTGGAGGAGGGACGGGGTGTGGGGGCGATATGCAGCACTGTTGTTGTTGCTGCAGTTTCAGTTGTTGCCACACATGTGGAAATTTTGCGCGTTTTGCAGTTTTTTAATTGACCAACAAATTTATTTGATTCGTTAGTGAACGACACGGCGCTTTTCGCTGCTGCAAGCCAGACATCTTTTTTTATTATATACATACGTACATACGTACATACGTACATATAGACAAAAATACGTATAAACGTATATATGTTGTATATAATATATATTAGCAAGCATTTACAAGCATAAAGTTAGCTGAAGCCTTTAAGCAGGAGTCAAGTCAAGTCGACATCCAACAAATCTCTTTGCCAGCCAATTGAAATTCAAAGCCAACAACGCCTCTGTGGAACAAGTGCTTAAGGGAGGCGGGGATGCGGGGGTGTGCTCTTTGTTGTTTCTAAGGATTACATATTGGTAAACAACGATTACAACAACAAAACAACAACAACGACTACGACAACTTATTGTGCGGCAAATTTTGTTTGCCCGGCAGCGCCCCAACTTCGTTTCGGGGTAGTCAGGGCTGGATTGAGGGGCTGACAAGGGGCAAAAAGGGCAGCAGGGGCTGTTTGATTTCATTGTTGACTTTATCGGTCAAGCGGCATTTTGGTGTTGTTGTCTGCTATTGTTTGTATTGTTGTTCTTTGGCTACTTAGTTGTGGTTGTCTTTGTGTTTGTGTTGTTTTAACGATATTTAATCTATGATTAGAATCGGTTTTTGGCCAGTAAAATCAATTAACCGCTACACTTGACTTAATTTATTGTCGCGCTCGATGAGCATAGAAGACAAGTAGCCGCCAAGTAAGGGGGTTTTTTTTTGTTCCGAATACCCTGTAACTTCAGGCATGCGGTACATGTATACTAATCATAAGGCCAGAAGACCAATACAAGAATCGGCATCGGTCTGCAGTTCAGGATTAGTAGAAGTACTTCCCAAACATAATATTGTTAAATATTTTACATGGTTTAAAGAGTTTACAGAAGACACTTAATGGATATCTGCTAGTCGAAAGTGCTCAGTCTCTGTCTGCATTTGTATTTGAGCATAGGTCGTCCGAAAGCCAAATTCGATGCAAACTGATATCACATGAACGTACTGAAATGGTCGTAAAATCAAATTGGCCTCTCTCGGTCGTCCAGTCGAATGCCAATAAAAATACGACAACAAATCTGAATACACACAAGCACTTTGTCGGTGTTTCTCCGCTCGCATGTTGGCGTTTATCTTTATAGCTCGATCTCGTTCTCGACGTGGAAGATGACTGTTTCGGGGGGGAGCGGAAGTATATTGCCAAAAAACCAAAAGCCAAAAGCAAAGAATAATTAGACGAAATAAAATAATATAGCATTTAAAAGTCAGGCATTAGATAACCTTAGCTTATTCCAATTCGCAAGCATCCAATTTTGTTAATACCTGGAGAAGCATTGAACTATATAAATAGACACGTTTAATACACTGAATCCAATTCAAAATAAGTTAAAAGGGTATATTGTTTTTGTGTGAAAGTATGTAACAGGCAGAAGGAAGCATCTCCTATATATATAAATATATTCTTGAACAGCTTACTCGACTAAAGCATTCAAACTTACGTCAATTTTCGTGTAATTCATATATAAGTTGTAGTCAGCAATATGCAAATGTGATATTTCCCAAGGTAAATTATTTCCGTTGAAATTGTTCACCCCACCGCACTACAAATTATTTCTTCAAGCAGTTCAAGTCAATATTTTTGCATTGAAACAAACACAAATCGAGAGTCCAAAAACAAAAATTGGCAAACATCCATTTGCAAAGCTCACCAATCTAAAATCTACAACAGCAAAACGCAGACCAATATGCAAATGACATCTGCATAGGCTAGAGCTACACTGAACGAAACAAGATCACACGAGGGTGGCATTAAAAATTCCGTTTAATGATGCAATCGGAATTTGATGAGTTGGAAAACTGACTAAAAATCTGACACTGCTGCTGATGGAACGCAATCAATGCGATGTCGAGGAGCAGGAGAAGGAGCAGTAAGGAGCCGGCTCTGCAGTTTCAGTTCGAACCCGCTGCCGTGCTCTGGCCATGGAGTCCACTGTCCGCAGTCCGCAGTCCGGAGTGTCAACAGCAACGGACAGGTAAATTGCAACCAATAATAATGAATAATTGAAAATCCAATCAAACACCAAATGAAAACGGAGGCGCACAATGCTATTGCCATTGCCATTGCCATATCCCATATCACCACCCATCAAAAGAACACCACCCCCTCCCCCTCCACGCCACCCGTTAGGCACATTTTGACAAGGCCGAGCGGTCGGTGGATGCTGGTGTTGATTTTGCCGACTTTATCGAAGGACATTAGCAAACGGTCGTTGGATTCGGTGAAAATGCAATCAAAAGTGTGGGCCAACAACCAACAGACATATAAAACAACAACAACAGCAACAACACCAAACAGCAGCAGCAACAACAATAACAACAAGAACAGCAGCAGCAACGACCAGGAGAGTAACGACAAACCAAAGCGACCTGCATAGATGACACCCCAGGGACATGGCCAAAGTCAATGAATGGTAATAGGTGTCGACATGGCGTTAGGGCGTGGTACCCATACTCACACCACCGTCTGTTGCCCAATTCGTGTGTGAATGTGTATGTGTGTGTGTGTGCTGTTGTTGCTGCGGCTTTATTGGTGTTGTTCTTGCTGATTGCCACTTTCGGGCATTGGATCGAATGTGCCCTGGCCGGGAGACGGGTTCAGCTGAGGTTCAGGGCCATGGCCAGGACCATTGCCGGGACCACAGGTGCACAGGTTCGAGCAACATGCATTAATTGCCAGTTAAATTGACTTTGACTGCGGCCGCTCTCTGCTTACCGGCAATGCATTGATTCTATTGCAGAGACGAGGCTTATCCCCAATACAAACAGTTCTTACATGCCACTTACAAGTTGCGGCCAAATTAATTAAACAAATCTGCTTTTTTTTAGCGTATTTATTTTATTGTGTAAGTATTTTCCCATTTACATTTTAAAACTTCTTATTTTGTTATTTAAT